TTTTTCGTTCTTCTGGGGACCCATGGTCCGGACGTAGATGGGCATGACTTAGGCTCCCTATTCCACTTGAGGCCCACATCATCATTTTTAAGTTTGTCCCGGTAATACCGTACACCTTGGTAAAATGTGGAGGAAGTTGGATGGTATTAAAATGTTGATACCACCCATAGCCTAATTCTTACAGCAACAGTAACTTTATAAAGCCCGGCGTACACTGAGACTTTTTCACTCGTAGCATTCAGCCCCATCTCAAACTTTACATCTTCCTCTCAGAGCAAAGCTCTGTTCTCACACTGTATGACTCGGTGCTCGGATGTGACCGGACCGCTCACAAATCCGGAAGACCTGGAAACTGTTAATGATTTCTGTTGTCCTTCGGACTTGCTTAAGAAGGACATGCAGGGGTTTATGGGGGTTGGAGTAGGAAGACAAACAAAACTAAATAAACTACATTTTGGGTTCTGGTTTTATTGGACATAAAGATGGCAAACAGGCTTTCTTCACAATCTCTGTCATTGTGTGTGGAGGAAAGGTGTAAAGGTGAAAAGACCTGATGTGTGTGGACATGGAAATACCTGGGCAGCCGTGTTGATGTATGCGCTGTGTGAGCAGTCCTGGTACTTTTGGGTTTCAGTGCTGCTTTAACAGTGCGATACCCTCACAACGGACAAGCAAAATATCAAAAATGTTCGATATTCGTGCAACTGCACGATTGCTGTTTGGGAGCTGGTCATGAGCTGTTAATGTCCTCTCATAGCCCCCTGTATACCACATAATGCAAATTTTGCCACGACCTCAAACATTCTAATATGAGAGGAAAAATGGGACAAAACAGGCCAAAAATCACACAGCGTACACCCGGCTTATCTGTGTTCTATGTGTTTGTGACCCAAATGTTAGAAATATGGAAATGCTTTTACTTTTGTTTACAAAATATTTGAACTGCTTTCATCTTTTCAAACACACTTTTGACAAATAAATGGAAAAGCCTTTAACTCTATACTATTTTTAATAAAGTAGACTAATGATTAAATGTTCAAAAAATAAATGGTTAAATGATTAGTTTGTCTAAATTCAAGTAGATGAAATTAATTTTACTAACTTTGGAACAGCTATTTTAAAGCATTTTTAGCTAAAAGTAATGTGACTCCTTAGCAGGAGAAACACCTGGCAGCCTAAACAACAGATCTCTAGATAAAAGGATGTTTCACCTTTCTGTTTGCTTTTCTCCTGCCAGGAGTTTACCAGTACTAACTTGATGTTGTGTTCAGGCAATAAACTTGATACTTTTGATGCTTTGACTTTCTGGATCAACCCGATCCGTTACCATCTTTGCTATCTAACAAGGATAACACTTAAAGTACATCACTGTTTCACAGCTAGACGGGATTCATTTGTCCTGATCGCTGCATCCTCAAAGTCCACTGTCATGATTTGATGAGAGTTAAATACTTTAAATAAGTTTAGTTTTAACCAACTAGTCTGTCTTTTGGCATCCAATCTGCCCAATTTTCTTTTTATGGACAAACCAGCTGGACTAGAATAGGTGGGATGAACCCAGTATAAAGGGGTCACACTAAGTAGCCTTTGGGAAAAACTTTTTGCTTGTTAGGAAAGCTGCCTTCTTACATAAATGCTTTATGGGGATCTTTTGTTAGGCTGTTTTCTGCTGTACATGTTTCTGTTTCCCTTTGAAAGCCCACAAGCAATGAAAATGATGATTGGCCACAACCTAAATCTGTGAAAGAGGCAGTATTTTTTTTTTCCAGCATGTCAATGGAGATTGGAAGATGGTTCTCTTCAGTGTGTTTTCTTAAAGGTGCTCCTTTTACGGAGGCTGTATTTCTTTGTAAGATGTTTCAGATCTTGATCATTTAGAGTCTTTAAAAACTTAGGTAATTTTTCAACTCTTTGTCTGTTTTCTTCTTTAGTTACAGGACACATAATGAAAGATGTTGCTTGGCTTTCATGTGGTTCGCTGCTGTAGAAAATGTGCTGGAGATTAGGGCCACATTTTAAAACAAACAACAAAAAAACCTTCCAGTGTGAACCATTGGCTCAAGTTGAGCAGATGAGGAGAAACGGCAGTGCTTGTGCGGCTGCAACGATGACTCAGCACTCCGATGGAAGCGTCTGTCTCCACACCACACACTGTGGGTGTTAGAGAGCGATGTGTATGTTGCTGTCCACCTACAGGCTTGAGTGGGCGTACATAACTCATTTGAGTAATTGTTTTCTAACTAGTAAACACATAATCCCACGGTAAAAGAGCAGAGTTTACGCTTGAAAGTTAAGATTGGCCGTGACTGTAGAAAGTTGTAAGAGCAGACTATCCCATGCAGAACCAAAGTTTATATCTTTTTGAGTCTAAAACCTCAAATTATTTGGTTCACAATCAAATAAAACAAAGGAACAGTGACTCCTGACCTTGTGAGAATACAGACTGGTGATGGTGTGCTCCACCATTGGTAAGAGTTTGAGCTTCTTGGCTTTTCACAGCTGAATTCGACCTCTTTTTTATGAAGTATGCTTGAGGCCAGTGGCTCGACAACACAAGCAGTTCAGCCCACAAACATCATCTCACTTGAATATACTGCCTGGTTGATATACACGTATAACATTGCCTTTTCTTGCTGATCACAGACCAAAACAAACCATGAAGAAAGTTAAGGACCAAGGCAGGAAAGCAGAGAAGTCTCCTGTGAAACCAAAGTGTGTCTGAAATCTTTGTTTATGTTGAACCCTGCGCTCATTACAATGGGACAAGGAAATGTTTTCAGCAGAGTTGATGAAATCTTGAGATTGCTTTTAGATTCTTGGCTTAAAGCTTCAGCACCAGAGAACCTTTACTGGAAAACTACTGGTAAAGTCATGTCCAAAATCCAGTCTTGGCTTGTGCTAGACCACTTGAAGACTTACCTGATGATGGTGGAAAGACTCCAGAGTTATGCTGAGACTGATGCACGTGTGTGTGTGTGTGTGTGTGTGTGTGTGTGGGGGGGGGGGGGGGGGGGGGGGGGGGGGGGGGGGGGGCATGAGGGAGAGGAGTTAAAGGGATGAAATTTCAGATTCCTTTGATAGCAGGTCAGGAATGCACACTTCGTCTGGGTCTGGAAGAGCTCGGGGTTATGTGGAGTAGCTTAGTGATGAGGGTGTGTGTGTGCAGACTGTTTACACCTTGGCAAATCATTAATAGCCACAATTATACAGACATGTATGATGCATGGAAAGGAGACCACATTTTAATAGTTTTCAGTATAATGCATACATTTAGACTAATTTACATAAACGGTTTAGAGGCTGACTTAAATGAGAAGTGCACTGTGGAATAGAGCGAGATTTCACATAAGTCTAAATGAATCCCATACTTGTCTCTGCTAGACCACTGTATTTGACCAATCCCATGACAGTCTTTTGGATCACAAACATCATAAGACTCTGTAATCATCAGCCTCTTTACTTGCATTAGTTACAGCTGATTAAGGAGAAACAATTTGAGCTCATTTCTAAAAGAAT